TTGAAACTTAATTATGTTCGTTGATATTATAAAATATTAACGATAATATATATATATAATAATATATATATAATTATACTATATTATATCATACACAGTTGAACCTTTTGTATGACATAGAATACAAACGCTTTCCTTCCAAATTACTAATTGTAAAAGACCTTTTTCTTGGCTACATCATAGCGACCAGCGTCTTCCGGTAGAATGTTTAGAGCTTCCGTTTACAGTGATTACAACTTTTTTTTTTGCGATCTGAAAATGGGTTACAAAAGCATTTCGAGTGGATTACGGAGTGTTTTTGTGACACACAACTTTGAAAGATGTGTGTTAAAGCTGTTAAGGTTTAACCACGAGAGAAAAACGTTCTCCTTGTTCACGTGTGTGCCGTCAAAAATACAGACACACACACACACACGCGCGCACACACACAACTTCACTGCATTATAGAGCAAACCAGATTACTGGCATGAAACTTAACAGGTGTTTAAGTCATGCAATTTAAAAGTCTGTTACTGATACTCTGCTGGCTGATCTGCATGTTGATTCTAATCGAGAGCCGTTTAGGTTTCATTTAGTGAGTTTGTGTTGTGTAGTATTTACCACAGTTTGTGTTTTTATGTCATTTCAAAATGTCACTTTATTTTCACTTTGTGACGCTTTTTGAATCAGTGTGTCAGTGGGACAGTACACGCTACATGTGTGGTGTGTGTGTGTGTGTCAAACATTTTGGTGAATTACATTTGTTTGGGTTATTTGTATATTTGAAAGAAAGAGAAAATGTTGACTTTAGCGATGACGAGGCTTCATTTAAACGACACAAGATTCCATCTGACAGAGGGAAAAACGCCTCGCAGCAGTTGTTTTCCATTTTATTAGATCACATTTTTGTAAATGATCAGTCCAGGAGGTGGTGCTGATCGACAACAGGATTAGTTCAAAGATGATAAAAGCAGGTAAAATAGATTAAAACCATTGTTTTAAAGCTGTCCAAATGTGACTGTTTATACGCATCAGCTGCTGACCGGAGATTCTTAGTATTCTCCTTGCGCCTGCACGCAAAGCATAATGGGTAATTTTTCATTCTAAGAAAAGGGTCTATATTATATTAGTGTGATATTATATTAGACCAGTGCATTTAGTCTTTACATATAACCTAATAAACCTGATACTGACTCTATGGGCGTTGCTAGGCCCATTTCATGGTGGCAGAAGCTCACACTAAAACTTTGCTTTCAAAATATTCTAAAGAAAAATGATGTTAAATAATATTACAAAATAATAATAAATGGATTGTTTAAATTTGTTAAACTGAAATTGATCAACTGCAATTATTAACAAAGAAATGTATTGTGACTAACAATAAAGTTATTAAAAATGACTGAATATTTTATAGAATTGTATTCAGTAGGATTTCCCACATTATGAATATTTATTATATAATTAATTGTATTTAGTACAATATATTTAATATAATTGAATATTTTATATAAATGTGTTCAGTAGGATTTCATACATTAAATGTTAACATTTTAGATTAACGGGATAAAATTTTTATGCTTAATTAAAAAAAAAACTAAAAATCATAATACTCTATTATAATTATTTTTTATTATGAATAGCTTTATATATTGTAAATATGGCATATACTGCTAAAAAAGCTGCAAGATGTCTAATTGTACAGCAGCACCATGATTTCAGATTGCATGAGATGCACACAGATCATGTTTTCAGTATGACTATTGGTCAACAGAGCTGTCAATCATCTCATAGCACAACCCCTCTGGTCATTTCCACAGCCCGAGAAAAAACACGAGTCAGATAAGGACGAAAAGAAAGAAAGAGACAGCGAAAGAGAAGAGAAGAGAGAAACCCAAAGTGAATGAAATAAGAAACCAAAAACACACCTGAGCTTGGAGTTGCATAAATGAATCAACAATATCAGGATGATCCCTGGGCCCTAAAATATAATAAAGATGAAACTTAAGAAATAATAATAAGAAGAATAATAATAAGAATATATACAAACAGCAACGGAACAGATCGAACAGTCATGTGGAAAGGAAAGTCAACTGGACGTAAATAATCGCACGCGTGAGAGAAGTAGGGCAGAGAAAGAGGAGGGAACATGAACGACTTTTGAAGGCAGTTGCGAAAAAAACGAAACAGAAACAAATAAATAAAAAGACAGATTAATGAGTCCGTTCTGAAGGGGAGAAACCAAGACAAAACGTAACGAGGGAAAGCAAAGAAACCTGAAACAAAATCTAAACAAAAAAATACAAATGAAAGAAACAGTGGGTTTGGAGTGGGAACCCAGGAGGCACCTGTTACTGTGATGACACTTGCATTCGTTTGTTTGTCAGTTCTCATTGTCAGTAAATTTCAATTCATACACCCCGACTGAGTGCTTGGTTCCCACCGCCACCCCCGGAAGAGCAAGGTAGCAGTCAGTCCCAAACTCCCCTCCCTTTGTCGTTCCCAAACTCCAAACAAGACTCCGCCCCTTCCCTCCATGCCCCGCCCCCAGTCACATAAATACAAACAACAAACACATAGGCCATAGGAGGTCCTCTCTGCCAAGTCACCTGGTTGGAATAAAAGGGTTATTGCTCACATGTTATGCTGATTCTGGAAACAATGTGGTTAAAACAGGACAGCTGGATGACCAACAGGAAGTGATGGAAGCGTGCATTCACACCGCCGCCAGTGAGAGCGTCAAAGTAGCACAAAGTTTTTCATTTTCAATAGGAGACTATGGTGTCTGGACCCTGAGTGCTTACCTGTCAACATTGGGATGTGAAAATAAGGGATATCTCTATCAACAGTGGGAGTTTTGGCTGCATGGTGTTATCACTGTCCTTGCGTGATGCGTCAGCCCCATGTCTCGGGAACTGATGTGAGTTCCTGTGTTCATTCAGACATTTAGGTGTGTGTGCGCCTATTGGGTTGAGTTCAGTGGCATACACAGCTGATGGATGATGTAAGGAGAAATAGATATTGTCCTTTCTGCACCAAGTTTGTGTGGATGAAGGCCGTCTGATGTAAACAATTGTCTTTGGTTCCAGAAGAGATTTAAATTGTCAATAAAATTTAGTCCTTTCCTGTTAAATGTTAGGCTAAGAAGCCGTGAAAACATATTTGTCCCTCTTGCAGGGAGTGGTCCACTGATGAGCGGCTGAATTTTCAATCTTTCAACTCTTTCCAAGACCTCACAGAAATCTCTCTTGAGCAGTTCTGACTGCTCCCTCCGAATATCATCCTTCCCCACATGAATGATAATCCGTTTAACAGTCTTGTGCTTCTTCAGAATTTCCTCAAGTTCTTTGTTTAAATCAGAAACTGTTGCATGAGGAAAGCAGTGTGTCAGTGTAGCTTTGCTCCCAAAATTCCTGATTATTGAATCTCCTACAACTGGTGTTCTTATATTAGGTGTGATCGGGGCAGAACGCCGCTGTCTAGTCGGCCTTGAGCCTCCGGCTGTTTCTCAACATGCGCTCTTTAGCGGTCTTGCGTCCTCGTGCTCTCATGTAACATCATCATCAGCTGCCAAAGTTCAGTTCCAATACTCAAGACGCAAGAACAGAGGATGCGTGAAACTTCCCGGGTGTATTCTTGATATTGAGGACGCACCGATGCAGACTTGAGCACCGAACTCGCTCTAGAAGTCCCAGAAGTCATTGCGACTGGAGGTGGGAAGCACAGCATTTTATTTAGATTTATTATTAAAGTTCAGAGATTGAACTTATTTACCTCAGGAGTTTCCCTAAATGAAAAGGTGAATATAAGCAGTGCATCTTAATAAAAGAATAAACACATTAAAGATGTTTGTTTGCTGAAATTCGTATTAAAATCTGTTTTATTTATATTGTGCAACGCATCTTTATATTGTTTTTATGCATAGTATTCATTTTGAAAAGGGGGAAAACAATAAATCGTTATATTAAGGCTGTAATGTTTCAATTTTCCAACCAAAACCCCTGAAGGTCATGTGACCATGAGGAAGAACGCAGCATCTCATTCCTCAGAGGATGCGGTCTCTGTTGTCGTGGGCTTCCAAGTAGTGATGGGTTGTTCATGAATGATTCGTTCATTTTAAACGAATCTTCAATATGACTCGGGAACTACGAGTCCTCTCAGGGAGTGATTCGTTCATCCGCGGGTGCGCACATTTGTTCAGGTATCGTTAATTTCAAGTCTTCATCACATTGGCAGAAGCCAATTATATGCATTTAGAGCCGGAAAAAGAATTGATCCGCTCACCTCTCGAGTCCTCTATCGGGTCTGAGTCACTCGTTCATCACGAGCCAATCATACGCGTTTAGAGACGGAAAATGAATTGAACCGTTCATCTCGAGTCCTCGGGTTTGAGTCATTCTCTCACATGATGAATGAACGATCATGGCTCCTATCAGCTTAGACTGTGCATTGATTATCAGGCATATTAACGTGAATGAACCCCTGACATTTAAAGACATGAAGAGGTGAGCTGAGCAAAGAGACAACAATACCTTCATAGACAAAAGAGCAGGTAAACATTGAATTATTATTTTCTCCTTCTTATATTCTGTTTATGACTTATTTGTCGTGCTATCAACCTTTTGGGCTTGTTGTAGATGTGTTTGGAAGCAATTCGTAACATTTTAATAATATTTTGGCAAATTGAACCAAATGAACGAAATGACTCGTAAAAAGATCTTGATGAACGAGACTCAAAGATCCGAGTCAGTAAAATTATCCGAACTTCCCATCACTACTTCCGAGTTCGTTCTTCTGAGGACACTTGGCAAGACCGGTCTCCACAAGAACGCAAGTCCGTTCTCTGCGTTCTTGGAATTGAGAAACAGCCTCCGTTTCATGAAGAATTAGCTGCTGAGTCATGTGATCTCTGTCTGACAGCATTTGGGGATTCTTCACCCATAATACTCAAAACTTCATATCTGTTCTGAAGCTGTAATCGAGTCCGAGCTGTATTTGGGGACGAGAATGCTAATGCAGAAGCGTATGATCTGACCCCGCGAGTATCCTTTGGCCTCGCATCTTGTTTATGACTTTGGTTACGCTTATTTTCAACAGCCTTATTCTGTTTTTCTGTGCTCAAAACAGTGGCAGGAGTAGATTTATGGGACTCACCGGCTGTATGCTGTCATGGTCCACAATGAAGCGGTCCTGTGTGATCTGGCAGTTCTGGTCGGATCACAAGTAACTTTGTTTCATGAACTGCAATCTTTTGTAGAAGTTTGTTGCAGTTTGTGCAGCAGTAAGAATCTAAATTAATCCCATCCAGAGGCATTTTCACAGCCGTGTTTTCCCGTCTCAGGAATGTAAGGTAGCGGGAGGATTGTTTGGTTGATAATTCGATAGAGTTTGTGGATTCGATGTTGATTTTCAAGCAGTGTCGTTTGAGCACTGTGCTGATAGGCTCAAGTTAAAATGAGGGTTTAAATATAAAAGCAAGAGTGCAAAAAGTGGAGCAGCAGGCTAAGACGTCGGAACAGTAGCAAAGCAGGAAACAGACTTTCTTGCACACAAATTAATGTTAGCATGAAGACCAATCAAACGTTACCTACAGTTGAAGTCAAAATTATTCACCCTGCAGTCAAATGTTTTAAAGTATTTTCCAAATGATGTTTAACAGAGCAAGGAGATTTTCCACAGTATTTCCAATAATATTTTTTCTTCTGGAGAAAGGCTTATTTGTTTTATTTAGGCTAAAATAAAAGCAGTTAAAACTTTTTTTAAAACCATTTTAATGTCAATATTATTAGCCCCCTTGAGCTATATATATTTCTTGATAATCTACAGAACAAACTATTGTTATACATTAACTTGCTTAATTACCCTAACCTGCCTAGTTAACCTAATTAACCTAGTTAAGCCTTTAAATGTCACTTTAAGCTGTATAGAAGTGTCTTGAAAAATATCTAGTCAAATATTATTTCCTGTCATCATGACAAAGATAAAATAAATCAGGTATTAGAAATGAGTTATTAAAACTATTATGTTTATAAATGTGTTGAAAAAATCTGCTCTCCGATAAACAGAAATTGGGGGAAATAAATATACAAGGGGGCTAATAATTCAGGAGGGCTCATAATTCTGACTTCAACTGTAAATGTTACCTACATCACCTGTTAAAGTATTCGATAAACAGCATGCTGAAATTACATTGCACACTTAACTGGTTTATTTCATTAGAAAACTTGTAAATACATTGGATCGTTAGAATGCTAACGGCAAGGCAGCTTGAGAAATGTACGCTCTCGTCGACAGCAGTGTGAACGCACGGTAAGAGGACACATGCAAACAACAAACCAATGTAAGTGAGGCAGGGGGTCATGCTGAATCTTTTTAGGATGTTTTCACACTGCTTGTCATTGGCTTGTCAAATTTGATCAAAGTACATAAAAAAAAAAAAAAAATCATACTAAAAAATAGCCATTTTACAAACAGATGGCGTGTTTTTGTGGAGTTTGCATGTTCTGCCCATTGTGGTGTTTTGATTATCTGTTTGAACACAGGGTTTGACAGTTAAGATCATTTCAATTCTCTGTAGGTCTGTATAATTGAACAGAATAAAGTGGACTTTGGGCGACGCCGTGGCGCAGTGGGTAGTGCTGTCGCCTCACAGCAAGAAGGTCTTTGGTTCGAGCCTTGGCTAGGTCAGTTGGCATTTCTGTGTGAAATTTGCATGTTTTCCCCGTGTTGCCGTGGGTTTTCTCCGTGTGCTCCGGTTTCCCCCACAAGTCCAAAGACATGCGGTACAGGTGAATTGGGTAATCTAAAATTGTCCGTAGTGTATGAGTGTGAATGAGAGTGTGTGTGTTTCCCAGTGATGGGTTTCAGCTAAAAGGGCATCCGCTGCTTAAAACATGTGCTGGATAAGTTGGCGGTTCATTCCACTGTGGCGACCTCTGATAAATAAAGGGAATAAACCGAAAAGAAAATGAATGAATGCTGACTTTGACTTTAGTAATGGTGTACCCAACACTAGAATATCCAATGCATGCCCGGCGCATCTGATCCCCATTCCCTGGTTTGTTTAACAAGTTTGGAAGAGGTGTGCCAGAGCGCGGTATGCTTATGGTTTGAGTGCAAAGCGCAACTGAGCCCCAAACAAAAGACTAAATCCGAAGTTGGTTAAAGTCGCAGTCAAAAATTTTGACGCGGCGCATCAAAACAAAACAAAAAAACAAGCTTGAGGTGTTTTTAAAAAAAATTATGCTTTTATGATTGACATTTTTACGTCAATGTGCACGATTACATAGGTGCCCTATGTTTAGTCACGAGTTGTTAAATGCTGACAAAAAGCATGAGAGAAAAGTGTCCGGGTGTTCACTGGCCTTAATAGATAAACAAGCAGGGTAGTTTTCACTTTATTTCTGCTCAGATTTATGCAGAATGAATTTGAAAAGTACAGTAACTAAAACGTAACAAAAAAAAAAAAAAATATATATATATA